AAGCATAACATAGATGAGGAATTGAAAGTACATATTTTCTGTTAACTAAAATCCTTTGATTACTCTGGAAAAAAATTAGAATTAAAAACATTGAAGGTATTTAAATTTATTTAGTGATTAGTTGTTTATAATTTGATTTATGAGACAAGGGAGGGCTGTCCGTCTGCTAAACTAACTCAAAAGACAGCAACGAACTTTGCACCAAATGAAAATTTAAATTTTGATTTAGAACAAAATTTTGATTTTATTTTACATCTAGATTCTGATCGGATGTTTTCCAAAAAAAAAATTATTTAAATTCAATCCAAAACTTCATTATAAATTATAAATATTTCAAAATTTTGACTCTATCAATTAGCTACTTTTACAAACATTTTAATGTAACATTACTTTTGTATGAAAATAATCAAGAAAATGTTTAATTATTTAAAAAAAATTAAAGTTTAAGTTACTTATTGCTAAATATTTTTTCATAAATTTTAATTTTTTATTGTGTTCATTTTCTACTTCATTTGATTTTTCTTTTCAAGAAAAAAGCAAGAAGTGAGAGATTTCTTATCAAATAGTGACAATTGTGTAGTCCTCAATAACTTTTTACAGTTTTATTATGATTTTCTTGCAACAATGATAGTCAAATGAGGAAAGAGTTGCAGGTATGGAATTTTTGGATTCATAACCCATCAAAAAAATTTCTAATTAAATTTGTAATATATGCCTTCCGAATCACAATGTAGGGTATTAGTAACTAATTCATAGTTCTCAAAACATATTAATTGAAACCTAAATTTCTTTAAAAAAATTACATCTTTCCAATTATACTCTCATAAATGCCTTGATAATGAAAATTAAAATTTAAATAAATCAATTTTGAAAAAAGAGTAATAAATGACATAGGGTATAATTGAAAAATAATTATATAAGTTACTTGATGCCCTATATTTTAGACCAAATAAAGTTTTTAGAAGTTAAATAATAACCAACTAATTTCAAATCAAATTAAAAAATTATTAAATTAAAAACGAATTACTAACCATGTATTTTAATATTAATTCTCAAATGTGTGATAAATTACTCTAACAATTTCAAATTTAAATCAAATATGAAGAAAAATATATTAAATAATACATGTTTGAGGAACAGTCAAACTTGATTAAAAGGAAATAAAAAGATTACAAGACAAAAAGGCCTAGAAAATATATCTGATATATGATCTGATATCCCAAGCCCATACAAATCATATACAAGACAAAGCTCACAAACCAAATTGAAAACAACAGACTAATGAATATAACAGTCAAAGAACCAATGCATGTTGGCTCAAATGATAAGGGGTCCGAATTTCCTTAACCATTAGCTTTTGCGTTTGATCATTGGGCCATGGGAATGGCAAAATATGATTAGAAGAGCCCCAAAGAACTAATGCATGTTGGCTCAGATGATTAGAGGTCTAAGTTTCCTTAACCATTATGATGTAGAATGGGGAAGGGGAAGGGGGAGAAAATATAGAAAAGAAAGAAAGGGATCAATAGAGAGAATAGAAAAAAGAGAAAACTCACAAGAAAGGTAAAATAATAATAATTTTATTCAATTAAATGTGCATCTAAATCAAATGAATTGAGGTGCCATTTATAAATCTCAACCTTAACCCTAGAATTAAATGTGAGAAATTCTTAAAATATTAAAATTAAATGAAATGATAATAATAATTCAAATATTACAATAATTAAAATAAAATATTCCTAAATAATAAAATATCCTAATAAAATATCTTCGATCTTTCAATCTTCTCAAATCTTTAATATCTTTAATTACCTCTTTTTCTTCCCATCACATGAGCTTTTGGGTTTGATCAATGGAGTTATGAGAATGGAGAAAATATGAAGAGCTACCTCTCTTTGGGGCTCTACAGTTCTTGAATTGAGATTTGTTAGAGCTATCGGCTTTAAATACCGAATGGTTATCCAAAAAATACAGTGAAAAATGAAAAACATTGTCGATATACACTCATTTAATTTTGTCTTAATTATAATTATTGGATTTCATTAATATTTGAATCTTATCCCAAAATTTAAAACAATTAACACAATCAAAACATTCCTTACTTATCGCCTCCAAAAGTTTGGGATTTAATTTCTTAAAAATATAATTATATGACAAAATTATTGACAATCATTCAATTACATCAAACCGTTATTATCATGGTATATGGAACACTCATTACTCATTGAATGGATCCAATTCTCCATTGAACATGATGAACTCCATGCCAGCTAAACTGTTGAAACAGAGCGCCCAAGAGAGCCGGAAAGAGATTGCTTCTAAACCACCATGCATTCATATCCTATGAGACAGGAAAGAGTACGAAGAAAAGAGTAAGATTCTCGTGGGAATAAAGAGGCCTTCGCTGCCACATTATCAAAGGAAGATGGATGACGATGCATGAGTCCACTTCTTAGTTTTTAACCAGCAAGGATGATAACCCTAAATATTTCATTTGCCCTCGTTCAAAAATTTCACTTGCCCCTGTACCCTCAAAAAAGAAAGTAAAATTCATGTGGCCTCATTAAAAATTTCACTAATTTCTAAAAAGTTTATTTGACTAAAGTCTTATTTATGTGTTTTAACATTAAATAGAAAGAGTTTTAAAAACAAGGGAGCAATAGTTTAGAAAATAATTTTCTTTGATTATTTAAATTGCAAATTTTTTTAAAAAAATGTGTACTATACAAAAAAGTTAAATTTTGTTGGCACAGAAAAGTTTAGATGAGATAGATCTTAGAAGATCATGAACTAAATTCTTATCAATTAAACTCACCTTTATTGATCAACAATCAAGAGTTAAGTTTTATTAATTAAAATGAAAAGCATAATTCTATATATATATATATATATATATAATTTTTGTTTTGTTATAATTTTATAGTTTATATATACTTCTTTAATATCATTTAATTTTAATAAATTTTATATTTAATATAATTTAATAAAAAATATAACTAATTTATTAATAATATTAATATTTATCTTATATATAAATTTTGTCCCTACAAACTAATTCTTCTGGGTCCGTCATCGCTCTTGGCAATCACGTGGATAAGTGGATTTTTTTAAAGAGAAACTCTAATAAAACCCTCAGTAAAGTCTTTATCGGGCGGCTAAAAGGCCTTGCATTTGCGGGTGTGACAGGAGTCAAAGACCTGAACAAAACCAAGATTTAGACCAAAAGTATCGGTAGAAGGTAGAAACCCCATCAAAACCAGACTTCGTTTCAGCCGGGATTTAGGTTTCTAATGAGCATTTTTCTAATAATTCAATAATGCATCAACTTCCAAATTTCATTTTTTTTATTTGGATTATTTACTTTTACATGAAATAAGAATATTTTGATATCTTGAAGTCCCCATTGAAATGGTGAAATTTTGTATTTTTTTATGATTTTTTAAAGAATAATAATATAATATAACAATTACACCCTTTTATTTTAAAAAATATTAAAAAAATATAAAACTTCACCATTTTATGACTTTAAAATATCAAAATATTTCTTATTTTATGTAGAAGCCAATTATCCAAAAAGAAAAAGACAAAATTGAAAAGTTGGATCATTACAAAAAACATGATACACCTCTCCACCTCAAATACTTGGAAGAATGACAAAGAGGTTTCAAAATAATTAATTAATTTAAATTAAGTTTTAAGTGTCAAATTTTAAAAATTTACAATTCAATCTCTTAACTTTGCAACTATGTTATGATGAATTTGTAATTTATTTTTTAAAGTTTAATATAGTTAAAGAATAAAAATATTTATTTTCTCTGTTAAAATTTAAAATATAAGTTGCAAATGCATTATAATGGAGTTGCAACATTAAGAGATTGAGTTGTAAATTTTTAAAGTTTGACACTTAAGACTTAACTTGAATTAATTAATTATTTTGAGACCTCTCTATCATTCCTCCCAAATAGTAACTTAAAGAATTGCTTAACTAAAATGACATCATCTTCATCATCGTTGTCGAGAAATCTTTATTTTTTTAAAGAAAATATCCTATCATACAAGTATTTGGAGAGAGAATGACAGTTAGATTCAAAACACTAAATTAATAAAAATTAAGTCTCCAACAAAATTTTTAAAAAAATAAGTAAAAATACTGATCCAAATTATTACAAATCTAAGAGTTTCAATTGCAAATAAGTATTTAAATATTAAATATAATTCTTAGATTGTAACAAAAATAATTTTTGTTTATAACTATTTGAATTTATATTCATAATTCATTTTGAAAATTTTTTTATTGAGAATCTAATGTTTTTAATTCAAATTAAGTAACAAGCCACGCGTCTCCCTTGTTTCAGTTTGGAAAAACCGTTAATTGTATTCGTGGCAATATCATAGCCTTTCGTGAAGGTAGACATGCAGAAAGTGAAATTTCTTACTCATTTCAAATTATAAAACAAGTTTAAAGATATGTTATTGTTCTAAAAAAAAAAGATAATTTAATAAATATAAAATTTATTAATGATGCTTTTCAATATTATCTATCAAGTAAAGAGATAATTGAAATGATATTATAATATAATGATTAAGTGTATAAGAACATTTTTTAAAGTTTATAGTTTAGTTGAGGTAACTTATTTTTGACTTTTGACTCCTAAAATAAGCACTGTAATAAATTTAAGGAATTATTTTCAAGAAAATAACAGCAAAAATATGAGGCCATGGAGACAGAAAAGATAAATTTAGTGAAAGATGAACACAACCAAATATAAATTGCCATTTACATTTTTGCTTGAAACACATCACATCATGTTCTATTTTCAAGGAGCACAAGGACATATATTTCATATTATTACCGAACAAAAACACAGCACGACTCATTTCATTGAACAAAAACATATATAATTAGCATAAAATCACACAATTTATTTCTCATATCATTAAATAAAGCCAAAGTTGTGAGACACATTTCAGCAAAGAAGTAAACCCTAATAATTCACTTATCATATTGGCACAGGATCCACAAACAATAGTGTAATGTACTCCTTCATGGCTCCTCCAGAATGAGTGTAATTATCAGCATCCTTATACATCGCATCCATGAAACGAGCAAGATTCAGAGCCATCTTTAGAAAGGGCATAGGTACTTGAGTTGGTCTAAGACATTCCTCATTGACATCCTTCCATGCACTCTCAATCATCTTTTTCAATTCATCTATGGCTTCCTGTCTTGACACTCCATGGTCCTTCATATAGCATTCCACAAGTGAGGCAATGTGCCCTCTTTTCCTCTCAAACTGCATCAGCACAAAGATTTGCAAGAGAAAGTCAAACAATAATACTCCCTCCGCCCAATTTTATAAGACATTTTTGGTTAAGTCATGAATACCAATTAAATTAATTACATAGACTTTGTAACTTTATTACTTCAGAAAAGAAACATAAACATCAAATCGGTCTAAAATATATATATATATATATATATATTGTATAAGATGGGGTGGAGGGACTAACAATAAGATGAGATTTTATTGAAGAGAGTAACGTTTTTATTTGGCATTTAGATCAGTTATATGTACACACACACACACATACCTCACTAGAGACGATGTCATCCATAACCCTGACAATAACAGAAGAAGCTTTGATAATTTTAGGTTGGGTTTGTACCCATTTGAAAATGTCCTCACTTACGATGTCTCCCATATAAGTGAAAGAAGACATGGATAGGAATGTAACGCAGGAAGTTACTGTCGATATGCTCAAGTATTCCTCTGTTGTTGGTATATAGTTTCTATATAACCATCTCGCTTCTGTCATAAAGGCTTGCACGAGCCTTTTAAACTGGCATGTAAAAACAGTGTTTAATTTTATGTTAAAAAATTATAATTATATCTAATTTATAAAAATGTAAAAAAGAATCAGCAATGTAGAGAAATTTATAGGGACAATATCATCATACGTCTTTTATTATATAGTCAACGCAGTATGCTCTTCCTTCTTTGCCCTTGTCCTCATCACCTATTTCTTCAAACATATTCAACAGTTCCTTATAAATTAGCTTCATATATCCTGGGAGGTCATCCAAGCAACTACTATCCCACCTGTGTAATAAGCGTATTAACTAAAAAGTTTAACTTGAAACACTAGAAAAGAAACCAGATGAAGGGAGAGAGAGAAACATGGCCTCAGCTCAAAATTCAACAAACATGTTTCAAAACTAATAACAAATAGAATACTATTTTGGATCTATTAGCAAATTGTTATATGAATAAAAACAAGAAGTGGTTCTAACTATAAAGTGTCAAACAAAAAGATGAAAGAACATTTAAGCATTAGAACCTTTTCTGAGGAAACATTTGCATAAATAACAAGGTGACTTGTTGGCTTCTTTTAATTAATAAAAGTATACTTAGAAAGTCTAGATGACTTTTAATAACCAATAAAGCAGTATAATAACTTTTCTTAAAGAATGCAAAAAAATGTTCCGAACAACTCGTAAATAAAACCAGAGGGAGTATGCTAAACCTCTCAATTGCCACAGTGAAGAGTTCTAGTTCATCAATGGTTCCATAAACATCGTACGTATCATCGATGATAGTTAAGAAGCCAAATTCTTTGGCCATGATGCTTCTACCTTTGGAGTATTGAGGCTCAAAATAAAAAGTCGAAAGAGCCCAGGAGTAATCTTCCACAATCCTGTTTCTTACATATGATAGATTTCTTGGCACATCCAAACTGTTCCACCATCTAGAACCGCATCACAAAAATGAAAATTTGTGTAAGTAATTTCATAGCCATATTAATGTTTATATTTCTTAATATTTTTGTTCCACAAGGGTCGAGAACTTACTTGCAAATGTTGCCAATTTCTTTCTGGTGCAGTTTTTGGAGTGCGTTGAAGTCTAATTTTGCTAAGGTCAAAAGAACTTCACTATGTGAAGGACGAAGGTGGTAGATTGAGATGTACTTTCGTGCCTCTAGCCTTGGTATTCCCCTATATGGACATTGCTTTAAGACATGATTGAGTTTTGCTGCTAGAAAAGGGTTTGATTCAATGGTGATGGATTGAAGATGATTGGAGGTGAAAGCCCTTGCTTTATCTAAAATGTCTTCTCCGTGAGTACTCAGATGAGAAGCTTCATACAAACTTATCATTCCTTCAACATCTGAAGCAATTCTTTCACTGAAGTTTCCTTTCTCATCCTTGAACTTGTTGAACACATCTGGTGATGATTATTTGAGTGAATCGGTTAAAAGGGAGCCAAAAAAAAAAAAAAAAGACTGCCAGTTTTTATTGAAAATAGCATGTATTATTTTTTAAAAAAATTTAAACTTTTAAAACAAAAAAATTTAAGATCACCTTTTAATTGCACTACGTTGTTTAGTCTGAGCTACAACGCATTGTTAATGATTTATAAACATTTCAAAGGCTTCTAAATAAATAGAAGATTAGGAAAATGAAAATAATTAAAATTTTAATTGTCTACCTCAATTAAATACTGTCCTACAATGTTGATTAAACAATAGATTAGATTGTTCAATTTTGTAATACAACATGACTGTCACGTGCTTTCTCATGTATTTTTGTTTGAATTTTTCTCTTTTGTTCCAGAAGAAAATGCCCTGATCCCAAGAGAAATGTCAAGAATTTTTTTCTGGGAGAAAATTTGTAACAATTTTTTTCTTGGAGCATGACTGATGTAATTATGGAATAATTTTTCAAGATCTAAAATAAGATTCTTTTTGTACATTTTTTATATTAACATGGAAATCAAATTCCAAAACAAATTGGGGCACATAGGAAGCATATATATAGAGAGAGAGAGATCACATACCAGATGAAACAGGATATCCATGTTGTCTCAGTAACTTGAAGAGTAGAGCTAGAGAATGAAGACCTTCAATATGAGTTATGTCATTAGTTTCAACATAATCATTGTGAAGCTGCTTCAACACTTTATCAATCTCAGGCTTAAAATGATAAGACAAACCCAAACTTTGGATTGAATCAACCACTTCTGTTTTCTTCAGGAGCTTGTCCATAGTAGAAACAAGAATCTTCCTCACTTCTTCTTTCAATGTTTCAATATTTTTCTTCATTTCATCATCAAATTCCTACATATATATATGTATATGTATATATGGTTTGAATGAAGTTGCCGTTATCAAGATTAACTAGAAACACTGCAAAAATTGGCTAAGGGTGTTCAATAATAGATAACATATTGCATATATGATTTGAAAATATTAAAATTAACGAAGAAAAAAAATTAGTAATAATTACTTAAAAACTCTTTTTGGAATGATTTAAAATGAGCAAGGAATGAGACCAAATGAAGAGTCTTTTCATTTAAGAACGAATCAGGTCCCATCTTAGCTAAATTGATTGATTTCGTTTGGTTTGTTTCGGTATTGTATTTAGTTTATGTTATAGGTTGTACTTTAGGAACTATTGCCTTTTTTTCTTTGCTTGTAGGTTACTGATAGGCAAGGCCGAAACCAGCCTTGACGTTGAGGAGGGGCCAATTTTTTATTTTTTTTAAAAAAAACAAATACACGTACATGTATGTATTGTTAATTTGATTTTTCTTACATTTTTTATAATCAATTTTTTAAAAATAATTTACATGATTTAAAAAAATAGGAGATCTTCAAATTTTATAAAATTATAAACCAATCTTCAAACTTTAACATATAATAAGTGTTTCTAAGTGATTTTAAATAAAGAATAATATTTATAATAAAAACATGTGAAAAATTACTCTCAGATATCACATAATTAATCTAAATACATAAGAGTTTTATGAAATCAGAAAATCACTGTGAAGTCCCATGTCTTTTATTAAAGGGTTAAGATGCAATTTTATCCTTAAACTATTTTTAGAGGAGCAGTGTTGTTTCTAAACTATTCTTAAAAATCATAAAATTAAATAAAAATAAAATTATAATAATATTAAATAAAATAATATTAAATGTATATCTAAAAATAAAATTATAATAATATTAAATATATATAAAATAAATATAAGAAAAAATATAAATTATGATTTTATAACTTGTCAACTATAAGTGAATCTTGATCAAATTAGATATGAGTAGAGTTGTATCTACATTTACACCTATAATTATTAACATCTTTATAAAAAAATATGGTCTCAAATCATATTTTATATATGTGAATTGTTTAAAAATAAAGTTAGTTTTTAGTAGGATCTAATTTTTGAAATTTTTCTATTTTTAAAAAAATTTAAGATTTTTTAATATTATATTTAAAACTGTCTAATTTTTTAAAAACTGCTCTGATTTCCAATTCAACTTTAGTTTCCAACTTAATAGTGGCTTACCTTTTGTCCAATCTAGCTCAATCAAGAAAATAATTTTTTAATCCAAATTGAGTTGTTAATGATAGCTCCAATCAATTGTTATAGATACAAATGTAGATATTTGTGAGTCTATTCATATTTAATTTTAACCAAAATCCGCTTATATTTAACAAGTTATAAAATTATAATTTATAATATTATTAATTTATGATATTTTATTAATATATTATAAATTTTTTTCTTATAGTTATTTTATATATACATTTAATATTTTTTATTTAATATTATTATAATTTTATTTTTATTTAATTTTATGATTTTTAAAAGGTGAGGACAATATTGCTCATTTGAAAATAGTGTAGAGGTAAAATTGCACCTTAACTCATGAAAAATAGGTTCCACTAATTACAGTAACGGACGTTTTAGCAGAATAGGTACCACTACTCTGATTTCATTAGTTTAGGAGTAATATTGCTATGATAAATAGTTTAGGGACAACATGACTCTTCCAATAATAGTTTAAAGGTAAAATTGCACATCAATCCTTTACTAAAATTATAAATTATTGTTAGACAATAGTTTTTAATTATTACCATTTAGTTATCAACTGAACAACTTTACTAACAATTATTAATTCAACAGGAAGGGAGGGCGTGGGGGCACGGCCCCCTCACTATACAGGTACTTCCACCCTTATTGATAGGATTTTTTTTTCCAGTTTTTATAAAGTAGTGTGTGTAATTTTTTTAAATCAATAAATTATTTTTTTTGGGACAATAAAAACCCAATCCTACATTTGATCACATCCCCAAAATTAGCTATAAAAATGTCTCTCTAAAATAAGCATCAACTCCAAATCCATAAATACGATTAGCTTAAGCTATAAATTCTTTTCCCACAAGTGAAACGCACACACCCTGTATTACTAAAAAATATAGGATGAGAAATTAAAAATATAAATATAGACTCTAGCAGCGGTAATTTGCACATGAATCTCTAAAGGGATGAAAAACATGTAAAAATTAAAGCAATAAGAAGGCCAGGCCAATGGTAATTAAACACTGATATATATATATATATATATAGAGAGAGAGAGAGAGAGAGAGAGAGAATGCAAAATAAGAATATAAAACAAGCTGTTAATGAAATTTTATTGAAGAGGCTTAGAAGGAAAATTCTCTGCAAGACTTCATCCTTAAAAATTCTTCTACTTTAATGTGTTGTGTGTGTATCATAAAGTAGAAACATAAATACCAAATCGTCAGAAGCATATTGAAGGAAATAATCATTCCAAATAGAAGGATGAAAATCTGCAGATTGTCGACCCAACTTGGATGCGGCATTAGTTTTAAGGTCTGAAGGAGGAACAAGTAGTGATGAAGAAGCAACGATAGACATATTGTGGCTATCAAGAGAAGGGGCTTTTTGAAAAATCAATGGAAAGGGTTTCACTTGCATCATTAAAAGTGGGTGGAGATACTTATATATAGGACACGTTGAAGAATTTGTTTAATTATAAAATATAAAAATTCTAATATAGGACAATGTGAAATAATAAAAGGGTTTCACTTGCATCATTAAAAGTTTATGTTGCTTTGCTTATTAAAAATAAAATAAAAAACATATAGTATTTCTTTTATTATATAAAAAACGGAGGGAGTAAGAAGTGAAATAATAAGGAATAAGTTTGTTTCAAAACATCTTATTAAACAATGGAACATCAAATCGGTCTAAGCAAAATTTATAAGATGGGGTGGAGGGAGTAACAATAAGGCGAGACTTTATTGAAGAGAGTAACGTTTTTTGTTGGCATTTCGATCAGTTATATGTACACACACACACATACCTCACTAGAGACGATGTCATCCATGAGCCTGCCAATAACAGAAGAAGCTTTCATAATTTTAGGTTGGGTTTGTACCCATTTGAAAATGTCCTCACCTACAATGTCTCCCATATAAGTGAAAGAAGACATGGATAGGAATGTAAAACAAGAAGTTAGTGTCGATATGCTCAAATATTCCTCTGTTGTTGGTATATAGTTTCTATATAACCATCTCGCTTCTGTCATGAAGGCTTGCATTATCCTTTTAAACTGGCATATAAAAAGAGTATTTAATTTTATGTAAAAAATATTAATTTATCTATTTTAGAAAAATGTATAAAAGAATCAGCAATATAGAGAAATTTATAGGGACAATATTATCATACGTCATTTATTATATAGTCAACACAATATGATCTTCCTTCTTTGCCCTTGTCCTCATCACCTATTTCTTCAAATATATTCAGCAGTTCCTTATAAATTAGCTTCATATATCCTGGGAGGTCATCCAAGCAACTACTATCCCACCTGTGTGATAAGCATATTAATTAAAAAGTTTAACTTGAAACAGTAGAAATGAAACCAGATGAGGGGGGGGGGAGACATGGCCTCAGCTCAAAATTCAACAAACGTGTTTCAAAACTAATACAAATAGAATATTTTTTTTTTGTTCTATTCGCAAGGTGTTATATAAAAATAAGAAGTAGTTTTAATTATAAAGTGTCAAACAAAAAGATGAAAGAACATTTCTGTTTTAGAATCTTTTCACTTGAGAAAACATTTTCACAAATAACAAGGTGACTCATTGGCTTCTTTTAATTAATAGAAGTATGCTTAGAAAGTTGAGATGATTTTTAATAATCAATAAAGCAGTATAATAAATTTTCTTAAAGAATGCAAAAAATGTTCCAAACAACTCATGAATAGAACCAGAGGGAGCATGCTAAACCTCTCAATTACTGCCGTGAAGAGTTCTAGTTCGTCAATGGTTCGATAAACATCGTATGTATCATCGACGATAGTTAAGAAGCCAATTCCTTTGGCCATGGTGCTTCTACATTTGGAGTATTGAGGCTCAAAATAAGAAGTCGCAAGGCCCCAGAAATAATTTTCAACAATCCTGTCTCTTACATATGATAGATTTCTTGGCTCATCCAAACTGTTCCACCATCTATAACCCCACCACAGAAATGAAAGTTTGTATAAGTAATTTCATAACCATATTAATGTTTATATTTCTTAATATTTTTGTTCCACAAGGCTCGAGAACTTACTTGCAGATGTTGCCAATTTCTTTCTGGTGCAGTTTTTGGAGTGCGTTGAAGTCTAATTTTGCTAAGGCCAAAAGAACTTCACTATGGGAAGGACGAAGATGGTAGATTGAGATGTACTTTCGTGCCTCTAGCCTTGTCACTCCCCTATATGGGCACTGCTTTAAGACACGATTGAGTTTCGCTACTAGAAAAGGGTTTGATTCAACCGTGATGGATTGAAGATGATTGGAGGTGAAAGCATGTGCTTCGTCTAAAATGTCTTCTCCATGAATACTCAGATGTGAAGCTTCATACAAACGTATCATTCCTTCAACATCTGAAGCAAGTCTTTCACTGAAGTTTCCTTTCTCATCCTTGAACTTGTTTAACACATCTGGTGATGATTATTTGGAAAAAAAGGAGCAAAAACAAAAAGAAAAAGAAAAAAAGAAGCTGCCAGTTTTAATGAATATATCATGTATTATTTTTTTTAAATCAAACTTTTAAAACAAAAAAAAAATGAAAATCACCTTTTAAACTAGATCTTGTGCACTACGTTGTAGTCTGAGCTAAAATGCATTGTTAATGATTTATAAACATTTCAAAAGCTTCTAAATAGATAGCAGATTAGGAAAATGAAAATAATTAAAATTTTAATTGTCTACCTCAATTAAATACTGTCCTACTATCTTGATTAAACAATAGATTAGATTGTTCAATTTTGTGATGCAACAGGACAGTCACGTGTTTTCTCATGCATTTTAGTCGGAATTTTTCTCTCTTGTTCCAGGAGAAAATACCCTCAGCCCATGAGAAATGTCAATAATTTTTTTTCTGGGAGAAAATTTGTAAGAAATTCTCAATAAATTTATTGCTATAGATGATAAATATTTGCGACAAAATCTCAATTTTCTTGTAGCATGACAGATATAATTATGGAATAATTTTTCAAGAACTAAATAAGATTCTTTTTGTACATTTTTATATTAACACAGAAATCAAATTCCAAAGCAAATTGGAGCACATAAGAAGCGCGCACACACACACGCACACACATATAAATATATATATATATATATATATATAGAGAGAGAGAGAGAGAGAGAGATCACATACCAGGTGAAACAGGATATCCATGTTGTCTCAGTAAATTAAAGAGTAGCGCTAGAGAATGGAGATCTTCAATGTGAGTTATTTCATTATTTTCAACATAATCATTGTGAAGCTGCTTCAACACTTGATCAATCTCAGGCTCAAAATGATATGACAAACCCAAACGTTGAATTGAATCAACCACTTCAGCTTTCTTCAAGAGCTTGTCCATAGTAGAAGCAAGAATCTTCCTCACTTCTTCTTTCAATGTTTCAATATTTTTCTTCATTTCATCACCAACTTCCTACATGTGTGTGTGTGTGTGTGTGTGTGTGTGTGTGGGGTTTGAATGAACTTGTCGTTATCATGATTAATTAGAAACACTGTAAAAATTAGCTAAGGGTGTTCTAGAATAGATAACATATTGCATAAATGATTTGAAAATATTAAAATTAATGAACAAAAAATAGTAATAATTACTTCAAAAATTCTTTTTGGCATGATTTGAACTGAGCAAGGAACGAAACCAAATGAAAGATTCATTAAGAACCGAATCAGGTCCCAACTTGGGCAAAATTGATTAATTTGATTTGGTATTGTACTTAGTTTTATGTTACAGGTTGTACTTCAGGAACTATTGCTTTCTTTTCTTTGCTTGTAGCCTTGTAGGTTGTACTGATAGGATGTTTTTTTCTGCTTTATGAATTAGTGTGTGTAATATTTTTTATTGAAAATCAATAAATAACCTTTTTTTTCTCGTCAATAAAAGCCCAATCTAACATTCGATCACATCCCTAAAATCAGCTACAATAATGCATCCCTAAAATAAGCACCATATCCAAGTGAAACGCATGCACCCAATACTAATATATGCAGAAAATTAAAATATAGGAAGAGAAATAAAAAAAATATAAAGATAGCCTGTAGCAGCGGTAATTTGCACTTGAATCTCTAAAGGGATGAAAAACATGTAAAAATTAAAGCAAAAAGAAGGCCAGGCCAATTGTAATTAAAGACTGATGTGTGTGTGTGTGTGTGTGTGTGTGTGGAGAAGGGGGGCAAAAGAAAAGTAAAATAAAATTAATTGCTGGAAAGTAAACGATAAGAATATAATGATGGTTAATGATAATTTTACTGAAGACGTTCATAAAAGAAAATTCTCTCCAAGACTCCACCCTTCAAAACTGTTCTACTCTAGTGTGTGTGTGTGTGTGTGTTATATAAGTAGAAACAAATACCAAATCGTCAGAAGCATATTGAAGGAAATAATCATTCCAAAGACAAGGATGAAAATCTGCAGATTGTCGACCCAAATTGGAAAGTAGTGATGAAGAAGCAATGATAGACATATTGTGGCTATCAAGAGAAGGGGCTTTTGGGAAATCAATGGAAATGTTTTTACTTGCATCATTAAAAGTGGGTGGAGATATTTATAGGAAACGTTGAAGAATTTGTTTAATTATAAAATATAAAAACTCTAATGACCACATCATTATTTCAACACGTGAATTATACCATAAAGTAGAAGAGAATATTCAAAACTCATTTCAGCATACCAAAAAGATCATTCTCCCTTGATTCTATTTATTTATAACTAAGTCTGAGAGAGAAGAAATTTTTATTTTATTTATAAGTTATGTCATCAAATTTTTATCACAAGTTTTTATTTTTACCCCTCATTAAATGTTAGTTAGAGAAGTACGTTATTAAAGTATGTATATTTAATAAAAACAAAGTTAAATACTTACTAAGTTTTTAGACATAGTTAATGATGGCTTTTAAAATTTTCATTAATTTAGATAAAGTATGTTGGAAATGACTTATATATATGACACAAAGGAGTGATTATGCAGTCCACAAGGGGGCAAAGCTGCATTATTTCATTGGAAGCATTTATCCTATAATGAAGGGTATATGAAAGAGAATTATTTTTTATCAATACAAAAAAAAAAAAGAAATGGGAAAGGAGAAAATGGAAGGAAGAAATTGTGGAGGAAAAATGTTTTCCCTTCTTAGATATAAGTTCTAGGAAACATAAAGAGAAAAAGAAAATGGACAAATTTCACAATAATAATATCCATAAAAAATAAGTGAATCCCATGCCTCTTTGAGATGCCCTTTGACATATTTATTTAATATGACTATAACTTCATATTACAAGACTCAAACTCAAGACTTATGATAAGTTGATTAAACTTTTTCAACAGTTAAACCGAGCACCCATCTGTATTTTATATGTAATTATCATAAGCACAGGTTGTGTTTGATGTAAGGCCATTGTTTTAAGCCTCAAAAAATGTTTGCTTGTACCCTATTTATAACCAATCATCAAGATGAAGGGGACTACTTTGTTACAATTTAACAATTCTCATCTCTCCTTCTCTGTCAATTGAATCATTTTCTGTCATTATTGTCATTTTCTTATCAAAAAAAAAAAACAATATTGCCATGTTGATTGCTCAACAAGTTTGTTTCCTTGTGACTTTGTTGATTTGATTCTTGGTTCCATTTGTCACTGCGAATCCTTTTTATTTGCTTATTGGAGTTTCTGCTTGCTATCTAATTGGGGGAAAAAAAATAAAGAAAGAACACCAATCATATATTTGAGTTGTCAGTCACATCAAGTGTGTTTGTTCCTTTTTTATTCTCTATTTTATAGTATGAATAACAGTTATTATAGTTGAAAGAAATTTTTCAAAATTAAAATTTTTTAAATATTATTTAAGATCATCCATGCTATAAAATAGATTAAATACATTAGTTATATTATCTATTGAAATTGAAATATTAGAATTACTTTATCACAAAATTTTAATACTTGATTTTACAGTTCAAAAAGCTAGAAAAATAATATGAACATAGAAAAATTACAATATATTAGGCCTCTTATAATTTTCACCTTAGATCTCAAAACTTCTTCACATGGCCATGCATAAATAATTATGTTTTTGTTCTTATTGCATCCTTTCTTAGTGATTATTAGAAGATAGAATAAAGAAAAACTTATTTATATAACAATAGATTAAAACTTACAACCTCAATCACAAGCAATTATAAATATTAATAATTTATTTCAATATATACATACAAAATAAAAATGTAGAATATGTGTTTTGCTTTAAAAAAAAATCTTTCATGTAGTATAACGGTGGTAACTTTTTTACTTTACAATTTGAAAGCAAGTGGATATTAACACTATACATACCAATTTATTTTATTTTTATATAAATTATTTTAGAATATGCCACTATGGAGGTTAACCACAAGTTTCTTGGTGTGTTTGCCCCTCCAGGATCAGAAAGGGCATGTTCTTAAATTTGTGTCAGGCCATAAAAAAACAAAACCTTAATAATAAAGGATACGTCAATTATAGCGGCCCCATCCCCACATGCACCATCTACGAACCCTTTATAAAACTGCCAAAAACTAGTTCCTTCATATAACTTCGACATGTCATTATGTCATGTGCACAATAATTCTTTTTTTTTTTCTGTGCACTAAATAATGCAACGTGCCCCATGTGGTAAATGTCAGAAGTATTAAATTAGGTAATTAATAACTTTTTATTCAATATTGTCAATCTATGTATTCAGATATTACTTGTCCTAGAGAAGAGATGGTAGTTTCTATTTTGTAAAGTGAAACCTTAATTCTTTAAAATTATTTCAGGTATCGATTTAATGTTTAAAATTTAATTTTTATCAGTTTAATCCCTTACATTTTTATAAGTTATTACGTTTATGTTATGTATTCAATAATTTTTTTGCCCATGTGTACTCAATAAGTCATTATGCCCCATTTGATAAATGTAAGAAGTCTTTAAATATGTAATCTGGCCTAGAGAAGAAATGACTCCCTCTTAGTTTAGTTTTCATTTTTTATAATAAAAATTTAGTCCTTCAAATTTTATCTCATTTATCAATTTGATCATTTACATTTAATTTTTATTATTTAGTCCCTCACATTTTTCACAAGATATTACTTTTTATGTTATGTAGTCAATAATTTTTTTGGCCATGTGTACTCAATAATTCATATGCCTCACTTGGTATATGTCAGAAGTTTTTCATTGTACAGGGGAGGACCCATCAGGAATATTGGGGGGGGGGACCAAATTTGTTAATGCACATACATATATTTATTTATTTTATGAAATAACAAAATATAAGAGAATAATAAGACAAAGATCATTAGAACAAATAGAGATCGATGAAGAATACAAAAGAGAATTGGAGAGTAAATGAGAAGTAATTCCCATTCACTTAGATGTGTAAAGTACATGGCAAATAGCCTTTATTTATAAATCTCCAACTCTATCTAAGAGTTTTATTGGAATAAATTATAAAATTAATCAATATAAATATACTATATTTAACCTTTGAGTGTATGGTATGCAACCATTGAATTTCTGGGGCTTTTTTTGGACAAATAATTTTTAGGTGTTAAACATAAAAAATTGCTAAAAACCATTTATCGGAGAGGTTATAGAGTATGGAATAGAAAAGTTAAGAGTTGCGAGAAGTTATAGAGATACACATGACAATTCTCTTTAACTGTCCACGAACAAATAGTATGTCTCATTAAAAATTTTCTTAGAAAATATTCAATAAGCCCTTAATAAATGAAAAAGAATGTACTATATATTAGAGTTGCTTCATTAAAAACCTTATCAAAAAAATCCACTAGAACAAAACCTTGATAAAGAAAATGATGACAATATCATTCTTGTTCATGTATCTCAATAGAGTATTGTTATTTCTTTCTAAAATATTAATAAAAGATATAAATATATATCCGTATGCATAATTTGTTTCAAGCTTCTTTTTAAAAAAAATTATGGAGTCAAGTGTTTAAATATTCCAAAAGTCCAGATTATATGTAGAGGAAGAAGATACATATCATACTCTTATCCCAGATTTTGAATTATCTCTCTACATATGTATATATTGGTTTAGCAAGTAGAGTTAGAAGAAAAATTTGGGCTTGTACATATACATCTAAATGAATATGGAGTAGTGGAATCTTTGGGGCTTGTACCCCTTGATGACAAGGTAGTTCTGCCCTGTATTTAGTGTTAAATAGGGAGGCACAGCAAAAGATTAAAATTTTAAAGTCTCTATCTTGCTATGGACCAAACGAACTCATTTAAGTCAAAGTGGATAAAAGAGTTATCTTTTAATTCTTCAAACTTGGCGCACGTTCTTTTCAAAAGTTTGGATCTCAGGAGCTGACAATATAGATCTGTTCCCTCTATCGATATCCATACGAACAGCTCTCTAACTCGAACAGCGTGCTAGTGCTCCC